TGTCTGTTTCTATGTGGCATGTCTGTTTCTATGTGGCATGTCTGTTTCTATGTGGCATGTCTGTTTCTATGTGGCATGTCTGTTTCTATGTGGCATGTCTGTTTCTATGTGGCATGTCTGTTTCTATGTGGCATGTCTGTCCTCAGCAAACTAGTTTCTGTCCTTTTTGTTTTTTTTACACTAAAAATTTTGTCAATTTTAGAAATAGCTATCCAGTATTTTAATGAAATATGATTACCTAAATAATAACATAACATACTTTCAGAAGATAATATCCATGTCTCAACCAGTAAACATTGACAATGATCAAGGTCACTAACTCTGACAACTGACCTAATGATTGGGAAGACAACTTTTGAAGGGTTAACAACCTTTCATAATCTTTCAATCATCATAACTTTAAGTCTTATAACAGAAGCACTTGTCATGTGATCATTCTAAAATTATGGCTTTAAAACATATATAATTTTGAAACAAAATATTTTCAGAGGACTAATTTAAATAAGATGGTTCATTTCTAACATCATCTTATAAAATTCTGCGCATGATTTTGATCTGGCATAATAAAATGTGTTATTTAAAGCTAGTCCAATATTTATGACAATGAACCAATAAAAATTGTTAAATTAAAAATTTGAGCAAATAGGTATGTTGTATTCATTCATACAAAGTGTGAAATCTTGTATATGTGTGTACATATAACCAGGACAAATACAGCATGTTTTTGTTTTTTTCTGATTGAATTTAACTTAATTTACATAAATAAAATTTAAGACTGTATCACAGGTCATCACAAACATGAGAATGTCAATAAATGTTTATAAAATAATTTTAAGAGCAAAGTTTGCATAGATAGTTGACAGGAATACATATCTGAGGGGTAAAAATGTATCTGATCATTTGACAATCACCTAACATAGGATCTCTTCTATTGTATGTATGCTGAGAAGCTTAAACCTTTTTAATAAGCAATACCGAGTGTGAATCCTTTCAACAGATTTTACTTTTTCAAAACAATAATCCAATGAGATTCTATTTGATTGCTTTAAAAAAAACAATTATTTCTTTATACGGGTACACACATTACGATCATGTATGTAAAATCACATTCAATCAAAAACTGTTAAAATGCCATTCTATGGATTCATTTAAAATAAGGAATATAAATTTGTTTATGTTTTCAAGGTATTTTATTTTTATAATTTTGATATAGGCTATTTGTCAAGAAAGTTTTTTTTAAAAGAACTTTTAATTTTTGAAGGCATTAATTGTCTTCTTTTGTTGTTAATCTCAAGTCATTCGTCGAACTAAGTTCAAATTGTGAATTTGAAGCTATCATAAAAATAATTGTCTGTTTGTAGAAAAATATGAGTTTTCAATTCCTAAAATCTAAATTATTCCATTTATGACAACAGCTATTTCTACGCACGTCAGAAATGTTTCAACTTTTAATGTAGGTAGCTATTTCAAGAGAAATAATTAATTTTCATTTTTTTAAATGAATAATTCCCCTTACAACAGAGATGATTTAATGACAGACATCTTGGATGAATTTCTACCATAAAAACTCCAATAATGAGAGAAGGAATATTAACATGGCCAAAAATGGTTCAAATAAAATCATCAGGTTATTTAAAAATAAAGAAATTGTTATCTCAGAGAATCCATTCAATAAATGAATTATATCAATAAAATCTGTTGTAGCAACCAACAGCCGTTTAGTTATGTTCAGAGTACCTCCTTTCACTTAACAAATATCCCAACTGGAAATAATGAAAACATGCCTGAAACCATGTACCAGTAAACAGAATCCTCAAAAACCATGTACCAGTAAACAGAATCCTCAAAAACCATGTACCAGTAAACAGAATCCTCAAAAAACCATGTACCAGTAAACAGAATCCTCAAAAAACCATGTACCAGTAAACAGAATCCTCAAAAAACCATGTACCAGTAAACAGAATCCTCAAAAAACCATGTACCAGTAAACAGAATCCTCAAAAAACCATGTACCAGTAAACAGAATCCTCAAAAAACCATGTAAACCAAAACAAAAAGAAAAAACCAAATACAAGCAAACATTTCCCTTCTTTGTCTGGACTGCTGAAGAAACCAAGCCTGTGTTTATGTTACACTGTGAAATAGATGTGATTGTGTGAAAGACTGAGATAGTCTTTACTAGTAGTCTGCATTTATTGATGTGATGCCAGATCGATGGAAGTTTTGGTGTACCACAGAAGTGCAAGTTAGTTAAGACGATCAAAGTACGGAAGATAAGTACAACATACCATGTAGACAACTCCACTTGTCGTGAATTTTATGATGGCAGGACTCATGTATCAACATGATCATCCAGTGGTTTTCAACGTTTTTCATCTATGAAAAGCTAGAACTAATTATGAAAGTTCCCTAAGCAACACTACAATTGTGTCCATCTCGTGTTTCACTACAACACCAACATGTATCACTCTTCTTTAATTTCTTTCATGTGTAGCAAATTCTTACAACAATCATTTGGAAACTGGTGACACACCATCGAGTAAGACACTACCAAATGACACAATACCTTGTGACACACTGACGAGTGACAAGGGTTAAAAACCACTAACATACTTGAATGTGCTATCACAATAATATCATTTATATCAAATATAAATTTATACAAGTTTAAAAATATCTACATTCTATTTGGCCCAACAGTTTTACATGGAATGTGTTATCACAAAAATATCATTTATTTCAGATATAAATTTATACAAGTATAAAAAAAACCCATGTACATTCTATTCGGCTCAACAGTTTTACATCAAATATGTTGCATATTGAACACTATTGACATTTTTTTCAATTTTGTAAATACAAATTGACAGTAGGAAACAGTAAGAGTCCTGTATTCCTGTAGTTAAAATTTAAAACACAACAATTCATAATTTCATTTTTTTAAAAAACATTTTCAATGTTCATTAATTATAGTAAAAACCATTTGATACGAATTGTTTGACTAACAGAATCATTTCAAGATAAAAAAACTGTTTTCCAGATGAAACAATTCACTTCTTTATGTGATACAGTTTAAAATAAAACAAATTGTTGAATTTAGGAATAAAAATGTATTTAACAAAAATATGAGTTTAATCTCATCAGATTCGTGTCTGTGATAGAAAGTGAATTTACACATTCTCAGTGAATCAATTTAAATATTTGATTAAAGAGACTGACAGTGGTAGCAAGGAAACAAATAATGATTGAGGAATTGTCGTGATCGTACCACCATTTGAGGGATTGGTCGGTTCCAAGTTCAAAGAATAACCATCAGGTAACGTCCTCAGAGATGACGGATATCTGTCTCTATGGTGGTCATCGCACCAACGATCTTCTGTGTCATCAGCTGCAAGGAAAAATTGTTTATGTCTGTATCACTGTGATGAGAAAATAATAAGTTTTTTTCTATTACTTTTTCTATTACTTTTTCTATTACTTTGTCTATTACTTTGTCTATTACTTTGTCTATTACTTTGTCTATTACTTTTTCTATTACTTTGTCTATTACTTTGTCTATTACTTTGTCTATTACTTTTCTATTACAAAGTCATTAAATGCAAAGTCTATAATTGTACTAGGACAAAGCTGAATATTTTCAATCATTTTTCAAATTATAAAAAGTTTCCAACACATGATTGAGCCGACAGATATTGTAACAAAATGCTTAACCTAATCATCTGTTGATATGTCATTGATCAACAGGTAATAATGCTGACATAAATGATGATGGTCCCAGAACTAAATGCTGACATACCTGGAAATGGTCCCATAACAAACCTGGAAATGGTCCCATAACAAACAATAACATACCTGGTAATGGTCCCAAAACTAAACAATAACATACCTGGTAATGGTCCCATAACTAAACAATGATATACCTGATAATCGTCCCATAACAAACAATAACATACCAGGTAATGGTCCCATAACTAAACAATGATATACCCAGACCTGTTTACCCTCAAACTCTTAAAATCGTACAATATCATCACAAAATCGTTCAATACCTTAGATTAATATTAAAAAATAAACATACAGTATATATAATGTTTACAACTCAAAATCGTACATTGTACGCCAAAATCGTAAGAGTAAACAGGTCTGTATACCTGGAAATGGTCCCATAACAAACAATAACATACCTGGTAATGGTCCCATAACAAACAAATACATACCTGGTAATGGTCCCATAACTAAACAATGATATACCTGGTAATGGTCCCATATGACATACCTGGTGATGGTCCCATAACTAAACAATGACATACCTGGTAATTGTCCCATAACTAAACAATGACATACCTGGTAATGGTCCTATAACTAAATACTGACATACCTGGTAATGGTCCCAGAACTAAACGGTACCAAAACTGGATATCTGACTCTCCGGCATCATCACCAACAAACTCTAGGTACACATTACTGGACAGTGTCTTTACACACTGATACATCTGACCCTGAATGAAATAATGACAGGTTAATACCAAACTGATAGAGCTGACCCCCGTGTTGATGTGGCGCTGACCCCCGTGTTGATGTGTTTTATTCACATTGATATCTTATTACTGGTGACATAATAGAATATGCAAACAAAAATTAATTTTAGGATCGTACTTAAAGACTGGCTGTACCTGCATTATTTTTAAAATACACTAAAGTCTCTTACACTTAAGTAAACTATAACGTTTTAGAATATGCTAATCAAGGTGTTGAAAGGGCACAGGGTCACTTTATGAAAGAAAAGTGCAGGAAAAAGTTATCATAATTATTGATATGATTTGGCTAATAACAGGGACATAATATTTGCTAAACTAGTGCCCAGTGCACAATATTTGCTAAACTAGTGCCCAGTGCACAATATTTGCTAAACTAATGCCCAGTGCACAATATTTGCTAAACTAATGCACAGTGCACAATATTTGCTAAACTAATGCACAGTGCACAATATTTGCTAAACTAATGCCCAGTGCACAATATTTGCTAAACTAATGCCCAGTGCACAATATTTGCTAGACTAATGCCCAGTGCACAATATTTGCTAAACTAATGCCCAGTGCACAATATTTGCTAAACTAATGCACAGTGCACAATATTTGCTAAACTAATGCACAGTGCACAATATTTGCTAAACTAATGCACAGTGCACAATATTTGCTAAACTAATGCACAGTGCACAATATTTGCTAAACTAATGCCCAGTGCACAATATTTGCTAAACTAATGCCCAGTGCACAATATTTGCTAGACTAATACCCCGGACATAATATTTGCTAATGCCCTGACCCCTGGCTATCCAACTAAGCCACAATATTAAATAAATGTTTCTTTAGAGCTTAGGAACATGCTCGGCCATTAGCAAGCCAACTTACACTTCCTGGGTCTGAGCAATATTGGGTCTGTGGCCCTCCAACGTTGACACTGTCAAATTAAGGACAAGAACAATTCAAACATTTATTTAGAGCAAGACGTTCCTATTGCGTAATGTAAGACTAATGTAAGACTAATGTAAGACTAATGTAAGACTAATGTAAGACTAATGTAAGACTAATGTGGCTGTGAATGCAGTGTCTTAGAATGAGGATGATAATATTTCTATTGACATGATGATTACAGATACAAATTAACAGCGTTTTATCCTTCCTAATCAAAATGGGACAAGAAATGTGATAGTCTTTTAGTTTTCAATGTTCAATTCTGAATTTAAATGAAAAGGATTACTCAAGAGACATAATTAATTTAATTTTTGTAATATTTATGTTAAAATTAATTATTGCATTTTTAATAATTCTGTATCTTTGAGAAAATGTAGAAGTTTCATACCATATCTTGGCTGCTGGGATAGCTTCCACCTAAACAAAGAAAAGATATTAAGATATAAGTTATCTTCACATGAGTGCCACTATGTCAAAGACATTCAGGTATAAGTTGTCTTCACATGAGTGCCACTATGTCAAAGACATTCAAGTATAAGTTGTCTTCACATGTGGGCCACTATGTCAAAGACATTCAGGTATAAGTTGTCTTCACATGTGGGCCACTACGTCAAAGACATTCAGGTATAAGTTGTCTTCACATGTGGGCTACTATGTCAAATACATTCAGGTATAAGTTATCTTCACATGTGGGCCACTATGTCAAAGACATTCAGGTATAAGTTGTCTTCTCATGTGGGCCACTATGTCAAAGACATTCAGGTATAAGTTGTCTTCTCATGTGGGCCACTATGTCAAAGACATTCAGGTATAAGTTGTCTTCTCATGTGGGCCCCTATGTCAAAGACATTCAGATATATGGATAAAATTAATTTAATTAAATACTTATTATAACTGAATTAAACTATTAAATTTGATTTTTATAGACGATGCGAAGGTTGGTTTAGAGGTTAGTCATTTGTTCCATTCTCCAAAACTTCTTCCTAGTAATGGATAACTAGCTAATAATTTTGTTCGATTTTAGACAAAAACTCTCAACACGTTAATAAGAGTTGTTCATTCTTTACAAGTCGCTAATTCTAGTTTTGAATCTGTAACTAAATATTTACAAGTAAATGTTTCTGACAACTTGTAACAAGGGTTTTGTTTCAAATAAAAACCACTTTGGAAAGTTAATAAATGTATCTATATATGAATATGTCTTACCATGTTGATTTTGGTAATTAAAACAGGACTCCATAACATACAGGTAGTTTGACACATGAACATCTTGGGATGATCCAATCACTAGAACAAAGGTTTCCAAGTCATGGGAGGTAACCTCAAAGGGATTTATGTGAGTTGCCGGGTCAAACAATGGACCCAGGGAAGTAGTGATTTTCAAATAGCGTTTTTTTTTAAATTGGTGTCTTAAAGTTTCAGTTAAAATTTCAACTATGACACCAAATATGTCCAACTATGACACCAAATATGTCCAACTATGACACCAAATATGTCCAACTATGACACCAAATATGTCCAACTATGACACCAAATATGTCCAACTATGACACCAAATATGTCCAACTATGACACCAAATATGTCCAACTATGACACCAAATATGTCCAACTATGACACCAAATATGTCCAACTATGACACCAAATATGTCAACAATTCGCTTATACTAAAAAAATAAAGTTTTTAAAAGGTTTTTCTTTCCAAGCATTTACCCAATATAAAAGCTATTTTTTCTAAAACATCAGGTCACTTTGCTTCTATATGAATCTGGTCATGACTTGTAAATGCTTGAGAACCTGTGGACTAGAGCAACTGAACTTAGTAAGTGAACTCAGTTAATTAGACTGTACAGGTGTTGGCTTATAGCAATAATTTGTGACAATCTGTCACTTGCTGAATTTTTTTTTTTTTAAGGAATTTGTATTCTACTCGGGATTGCAAAATTTCCCGGGAAGACTTTTGTTTAATAAAAATCATGCAGATACCGGACGAGAAACCGTAATTTATACCTATAATAACAAGTCCACACCCCTTAATGGGAAATTTCAGAATTTGTTGATTTTAAAATATGTTTCAAATAGTTACAGAACAATTTACAAAACCGCCAGTAATTAAATGGAAAGACATCTGACTGCTACAAGATCCTTCATCTAAAACACTAAAGGCATCTGACTGCTACAAGATCTTTCATCTAAAACACTACAGACATCTGACTGCTACAAGATCCCTCATCTAAAACACTAAAGGCATCTGACTGCTACAAGATCTTTCATCTAAAACACTAAAGACATCTGACTGCTACAAGATCCTTCATCTAAAACACTACAGACATCTGACTGCTACAAGATCCTTCATCTAAAACACTACAGACATCTGACTGCTACAAGATCCTTCATCTAAAACACTAAAGACATCTGACTGCTACAGCACTAAAACTCTCACCATGATCTCCACTCTCCTTCCAGAAGTGTCTTTCAGCAAAATACATGGATTTGGATTGTTCTGATTGTAAGACCATGTTGCTTTCATAAAGCCCAGTGGTCGTTTGCCATCTGATCCAATAGATGAATAGTTCCTGAGGACAATATCTCTCCATTAGTCAATACTTAATTATAATTTAGTGAGAAGATGATTTGATGGCTTTGGTGCTGAAGGATTCTGTCCAGAAAATAAACCCCTCACTTGGAGATGAAGATTGTGTGACTGTATGAGTGACTGTATGAGTGACTGATGATTTTTGTTGTAGTGTGTATTGCTTGAACTTTGTGACCTGATTAATAATAATAATAAAGTTCATTTCAAAAACACGCTTCATCCCCAAAGGCTCGAAGCGCGGTACAAAGTCAACAAAAAATATCTATAATTCACCACATTTAAAACAAACACAACACTACAAAAACTAATTACAAGCATACAATATCAAAGTCTTTCTAGCCATTTCAACCCGGAGCAACACAGCAACACATGGAAAAGAAGGTAGACAATCATCCCAGAAGGTATTTGCGAAATAGATGTGTCTTTAGATCGGTTTTAAAGGACTCCAGTGTCTGGTTGTTTCTAAGATCGACAGGAAGGGCGTTCCAAATTGTTGGACCAGCAAATGCGAAAGTGCGCTTTCCGTAAGTCTCAAGGCAAACACGTGGTGTCGAGAGTTATCCAAATTGTTGGACCAGCAAATGCGAAAGTGCGCTTTCCGTAAGTCTCAAGGCAAACACGTGGTGTCGAGAGTTTGCCACTATCGGATGAGCGGAGCTCTCTACTGGGTACATAAGGCGTCAGCAGATCTTTCAGATAGGACGGCGCCAGGTCATGTAAGCAGCGGTAGCACAAAGTTGCGATTTTGTACTCTATGCGAGCACGCACCGGCAGCCAATGCAACTCTCTCAGAAGGGTTTTTGCATGGTCAAACTTGCGTTTGCGGAGAACAATGCGAGCCGCATTATTCTGTGCTATTTGAACTTTATCCAGGAGCGTAGCTGGAAGACCCACCATAAGAGCATTGCAATAGTCCATGCGTGATAGCACAAATGCAGACATCAGCCTCTTTGTTGCATCAATTGTTAGGAAGGGCCTGATGTGACTAATCCTGCGCAGCTCTAGAAAAATCGCCTTGCATAGCATGTTAATATGACTTTCAAAAGTTAGTCTTCCATCTAGGTAGACACCCATGTACGGCACTGTTTGTGCTAACTCAAAACGCACACCTGAGAGAGTAATGGATGTAGTGTTATTTGCAGATTTTTGCTTCTGAGCGGTCGCGATGGGGAGCAGCTCAGTCTTATGTTGTTGTCATGTTGTATGACTGGAAGTGGTGAGTTGTTTTCATGAATGTTTAAACTTAAAGGTGTGAATATTGGTTGGAGAACTGGAGTGGGTAATCATGTAATGTGAGGTATAAAAGGAATGCAGAATGGTAAGTAAAAGTTAGTTGTGACACAGAACACAGACTTGAGTTAATATTTTATTATACTATTATCGACTGCCTTTATCTCTGGTCATTTTTTAAGAAAGCAGAACGCATGCAGCATAACATAAAACATTTACAATAAAACATTTTAATTTATTTCTCATGACCTTTGAACTGTTTGTGCTTGCAATAAAGAAATTGAAAGACAAAGTTTCAGTAAAACGTGGAGGTAATTTTCAAATCTGTATCTACTCAGATGTAATGACCAGCTCTAGTGACCAGATCTATTTGCCAGCTCTATTGTCCATATCTATTTGCCAGCTCTATTGACCATATCTATTTGCCAGCTCTATTGACCATATTTTTTGCCAGCTCTATTGACCATATTTTTTGCCAGCTCTAGTGACCAGATCTATTAGCCAGCTCTATTGTCCATATCTATTTGCCAGATCTATTTGCCAGCTCTATTGACCAGATCTATTTGCTAGCTCTATTGACCTGATCTATTTGCCAGATCTACTGACCAGATCTATTTGCCAGCTCTATTGACCAGATCTATTTGCCAGCTATATTGACCAGATCTATTTGCCAGCTATGTTGACCAGATCTATTTGCCAGCTATATTGACCAGATCTATTTGTCAGCTATATTGACCAGATCTATTTGCCAGCTCTATTGACCAGATCTATTTTCCAGCTCTATTGACCAGGTCTATAGCACTGGGATTCAATTTTTAAAAAAATAAACTTTATTGTATTTTCTGTAAAGATAAATAATCTGCTCACTGATCAACATGTTGTTCAACCTCCTAGTTATAGGACCTCAATGATCAACATGTGGTTCAACCTCATAATTACAGAAAGTAGAACAAAAAGGCTATCTAAAAGCCTAGTAGAACAAAGCTACCCCATTGTCTAGTGGAACAAGGCTATAAATTTGCCTAGTAGAACAATAACGCTACCTAATAGCCTAGTATAACAAGGCTACCAATTTGCCTAGTAGAACAAAGCTACCTCATAGCCTAGTAGAACAAGGCTACCAAATAGCCTAGAACACATGTGTCAAACTCAAGGCCTGCGGCCACATCCTGCCCCCCGTACAATAATATCAGGCCCGTGAGGTCTTGACCGGCGTAAAATTATATCCAAGTCAACGCTATGGTGTTTCCCAATGCACACTTTGCTGAAAAACTTAGCTTACTTCGCTCCGAGTTCGTGCTTTAGTGACCTTGAAGCACAGAAATGTAATTTCGAGCTGTTTCGTAACCCTGTAATTTCGAGCTGTTTCGTAACCCATTTGTCATAGACGTGGAAACTGCACCTGTAAATTTGCAGATGGAACTAATAGAGCTGCAGTGTAATGGGACACTAAAAGCAAAGTACGACACAGTTGGGCCTGCACAGTTCACTCGTTTCATTCCTGTAGAGATGCCCCAGCTTTGTCTTCATGTGCCTTGAACTTTGAGCATGTTGGGTAGGACATATATGTGTGAGCAGCTGTTTTCTGTGATGAAGATTAACAAAACATCACACATGAGTTGTCTCACTGATGAACACTTGCAGTCAATCATGAGAATCTCAATGACGCAGATGTTACTCCCAACATAAACCAGCTTACTTGTTTTTGTAGCTAAGAAAATGTGCCAAGCCTCCAACTCTAACAAATTCCCATAAGAACGAACATGGGCATGCCAATGATTTTTAATTATTAAACGCTTTTCTGTTTTTATTTATATAAAAGTTTTTTTTTAAAAGATTAAGTTTCCGCTTATTGAATGTTTATCCTGTTTGGCCAGCAACCTTAGGTGTGATTTGAGTTTTGGCCAACAACCTTGCGTGTAAATTGGGTTTTGGCCTGCAACCTTATGTGTGATTTGAGTTTTGGCCCGCAACCTTATGTGTGATTTGAGTTCTGGCCCGCAACCTTATGTGTGATTTGAGTTTTGGCCCGCAACCTTATGTGTGATTTGAGTTTTGGCCCGCAACCTTATGTGTGATTTGAGTTTTGGCCCGCAACCTTATGTGTGATTTGAGTTTTGGCCCGCAACCTTATGTGTGATTTGAGTTTTGGCCCACAACCTTATGTGTGATTTGAGTTTTGGCCCGCAACCTTATGCGTGATTTGAGTTTTGGCCCGCTGAGCGATTGAGTTTGACACCCCTGGCTTAGAAGAACAAGGCTAACAAACTTCATAATAGAACACGGCTACCAAATTATTTAGTAGAACGAGGCTACTAATTTGCCTAGTAAAACAACAAGGCTGCCTAATAGCCTAGTAGAACAAGGCCACCAAATTTTATACTTTTTATGACATAAACAAAACATTTAAATTTAGGAAACAAAATGACTTAAGAAAACTTAAAACAACATCTGGAAATGAATCCTTTAAACAAGGACAAGTTAAAACAAAAGTGCTGCACATCCTTTAAAAAATAGAATTTTGGTGGACTTTTGGCTCTTGGAAATTGTCGCCAGACTCGGGTTTTAGAGTTTTCCTTTCCTTATGTCACCTCTTTGTAACTCTCATTTGCAATACCATGGATGTGTTGATTATTTTTCTTCTTTCTTTATGCCTTTCTACCCCGTCTGGGGCATAGGCCGTCTACAAGAACTTTCCACTCCTCACGGTCCTGTGCTTTCCTTTCCAATTGCTTCCAGGTGTATCCCACATTTTGCATGTCTGCCTCTAGCTCGCGTCTCCATGTATTCTTAGGCCTTCCTCTCTTTCTTTTTCCCTGTGGGTTCCATGTTAGGCATTGTCTGGTGGTGCTATCTGGGGGTTTTCGGAGCGTATGCTCTATCCACCTCCACCTTTTCTTTATGATATGTTCATCAATGGGCACCTGGTATGTCCTTTCTAGTAGATATTTGTTATTGGCAGTATTTGGCCATTTGATTTATGCTTATGATGTCCTTAAAAATGTCTTCACTTTCTGCATAAGGCTCAATGTTGTTTTCCAAGTTTCTGCACCATATAGTAGGACAGTTTTGACATTTGTATTAAAGATTCTGACTTTGGTTTGGAGTTTCAGCTCCTTCGACTCCCATATTTTCTTTAATAGCACGAATGCTAGCTTTTCCAATTCTGGCCCTTATGTCCGCATCTGATCCGCCATTTGGCGGATGTGATGTGTTGATTAGGGCTACAGAATTCTCTTTTTATTTTGTCAAATCTTTGAGGCTCTTATTAGCAACACCATATATCTGTTTTGTATTGTAGAAAGAGGTTTAGTAGTTATTCTTCATTATACAAATTATTATTTAACAGCACATTTTTTAGCTCCATCAAGTTGATTGTAATTGACGGCCCAGTACGTTTCATTGTGAACTCTATGAAAAAACAATAATAATAACAATAGCAATAACAAAAACAATAACAATAACAGCTGAGACATAACAAGCCAACCTGTCATACTGATCTTCTGGTATGACCTCATAGGTAACAACATCGTCAGGTGGACATGCACTGTAGGAGACTGTAGATTTAACAAAAAGACTATTAAGATAGGGCATGTAACCATGGCAATTTGGAATTTGATGAGATTATTGTTTAACCTAATTTTTACTTTAGAAACATTTTTTTTAAACATTGGATGTATATTTATTTTATTTTTTTTTCAAATAAATGCATGCCTTGAATAATATATACAAATGAAAATATATCTGAAGAGGAAATTTTTTCTTTATGATCAATATGACTGACACTCAAAAAGGAAAAACTATAATATATTTGAGTTTAAAAAATCAACAAAATGTTGACCAGTAACACATTTTTTGAGTGTTTGTTTCAATAAATGAAGCTATATTGTTCTCAGCCCATATTTAATGTCATATAATCTGACATGTACCTCATGACTTTATTATGTATTCTCTACTTCTGATCTGTTTGATAAAGGTTTTTTTTAATGTTGTGTTTTTATAAGTAGAATAAAACTTTTAACTTTTTGGTATTCCTGAACTTTGTGCTTATATTCTAAACACCTCCAAAAAATAAGGAAAAAAAAATCCATTTCTTTTTATTTATAGCTTGAGATGAATATTTTTTTAAAAATTAAAAATATATTCCCAAATCTCAAAACTCTTCCTGATATAAATATATTGTCATAACAGCAAGATGTTATCTGGTGCGAATCTTACCTCTGGCTATGAAGAGAATTAGAATCTTACCTCTGGCTATGAAGAGAATTAGAATCTTACCTCTGGCTATGAAGAGAATTAGAATCTTACCTCTGGCTATGAAGAGAATTAGAATGGAGCATACTAAGACATGTCCAGGTATTCTCCAGACCTCAAGCATATTTTTACTTTGAAATTGACATATAACCATTTCACAGAGAGTATAATACTACTGTCATACAGCGCACCTGAAATGTTAAAAAAAAAGAATCATTAAAAATATAATAAGCACCAGGGCATCTAGAGAACTTAGGATCCGATCCGAGTTGAGCAAACAACCCGTCAACTGTGTCAAAAAAGTATTTCTATTATTATTTATTATTAAATAATGTAATTAGCATGATTGGATTGAAGCGTTGGATCTAGGGAAAGAGTAAAATGGACAATAACTGCACTTTATTTAAGTGTGACACAAGGATCTTTTTGAACATTTCTCTGGTTTTAAAGTGATTTAAAAACATAAAAAATGTAAAAAGAAATTCATGTTCTATAAGAGGCCATCCGTAAATGATGTCACACTAGTGATGATTTATAATGACATTTTTAAGGGTGTCTAAATTGTGGGACAAATTCGTGACAATTGGGGAGGAGGAGTCCGAAAAAGCATGCTTTCATTTATGGAGAGGCCCCCTTACCATTTGTTGTCATCTTTATAATTTTCTTCCCTTTTTCCCCAATCTCAGACAAAACTGATATTCATATTTTAGCAAAAAACTGATTAAACATTGTCCTGGTAATCGCCAAAAAAGTACAGAGGTTGGATTAGACTCAGAGGCACTGCTTGCAGGGCTGTCTTACAATATCGTAGTTCATGATGTAACTCAGTCCCCACCTCCCATCCCCGCCAAATAAAATTTTCAGTAATTTTTCAGTGTTATGCCAATATTTTCAAATACCTAGAAGGGGGCGTGGTGTTTCTAAACATTTAGTCGACAGACTCCTTTGACCCGCAGACAAGAGAACATTTTTAAATATCAATGACATAATATAATAAAGCCATATTACTAGGCTATAGGTAATAGGCTATATGGTTTGTTCATAAAGTATTTCATGCTCCTGGGGGAGGGTAGGGAGTCTAAGAAAATTTTACAGTCTGTGACTAGGGGGAGTGGGGTGTAAATGTAAAGATCTTGTGTAACATCATACATTTAAAAAAAAAATTTTTTATCATGGGCAACTTCCCGAGTTACCAGGACCTTGAGCCAGCACTGCATACCAGTATTAATTAATAATTAATTTAAATTAATTTAATTCCTTTCCTGATTTCCAATGTCTAAAATAATGATCAAAAAATATATAATTTATAAGATTCATAACAGAAATTTTAGACTTAAGGCTTAGCAGCACTAAGACTAAGCTATACCAGCTAGTACTAGTACTACTGCTTTTAGTAGAATTCAAGGTAAATGGTGAGTATGATGCCACTATTTTCTCAATGGTCGCCATTTGGTTAAAACCTATGCCTAACCTGAATCCTAACCTGAATGTCTGGCATCCATAACTACCTTTAACTTTAGCCTTAGCCGAAGTCAATTACTATTATTTAGGCCTATTCATAATTGAGTACCTTGAGCCGGCCCTGCATACCATTAATTAATAATTAATTAAAATTCATTTCACGATTTGTAATTAAAATTTTAATGTCTAAAATAATGACAATATTATCTTATTTTTGTCTTATACTTATAATTTATTCTATTAATATTTATATAATTAAATAATTCATGACAGAACGTTTAGAATTTATTTAGGTTAAGCAGCACTAAGCTAGTACTATTAGTAGTACTACCACTCCTAGTAAAATTTAAAACTCTAGACCTACTCCATTGGATTAGATAGGCCTAACTGTAACTGCCCTAACTAGGGCTACCCTTGCTTTGCTTCTAGCCTAATCTAGACCTAGCCTAGCTTAAGGCTAAGTCAAGAAGGCCTAAGTCGTAAGTATTAGTGAGGCCAAAGAGTTACTACATGTACTAAGTTAGTAAGGCCTAAGAAGAGTTCTAACTAAAGAAAAACTATGAATCACTAAGACCTAAGGCTCTAAGTTAAGACTTTGACTTAATAATATTGTCGGTAAAAGTAAAGTCAAATCACGTCTAATTCTAAGGCGCCGCCCCCTTATTAAAACCTAAGGCTTAAGCCTAAGCCTTGGGCTATTATTACCACAAAAAGGCAATGTTTGAAATTTAGGTTATTTACACAATACAAACTGATAAGTATTGGAATACTTGAGTAACCTATTGAAATTATTACCAATAGCGATAAAGCTACTCAAAGAATCCACTTCCTGTACTTTTCGGTTGTAAACAACACTTACGGATTTAAAGTTTAATCTAATTATAGTTACAGCAGGACATAACTTTTGTGATTTCCGGTCCATTTTTTTTTTTAGTGGCTATTTGTATGTTTAATGTATTGTGAGAGTGAGTGAGATAGTGAGATAAAGCCTTTTTGTTGTTTTTTGTTGTTTTTTTTAAATATTACCATACAGTAAAGTTTATTTATTACGAATCACTTGAGATTTTTTTTTTTAAAAAGGCATCAATATTATATTTTTTCGTCGTATATTAAAATTAAAGGGCATTAACCACTGATGGGGATCATAATATTTTAGCGTTTATAATTATTAACTTTTTATCTCCCCATAAGGTGAACGTGTTTTTAGAACAAAGATAGTAATAGTTGGCTAAAGATGGCTGATAATTTAGTTTGTTCACTCCGGTAGGTTAAACACGGTGTCCTCAAACTACGGCCCGCGGGCCAGATCCGGCCTGCCGGATATCTTTAGCCTGGCTCACCTGGCCGCCGTACGAGAACTCGTTATGCTGCAATCGGTAATACACGGCGATTTATAAATACAGGTAGGCTGCAACAGAAGACAACAGTGACAACACATCAACGGTTTCAATGTGCAACTTCAAGAAATAGCTGTTGTGATATGCATTCACGTGTGCATTTGAAGTAAAAACTTGCGTGGATTTACTGAAAGTGTTGCAAAGGGCGCTTCAAATCAGGTTTGAAGAGCTCCATCTCCACTAACAGGAAAGAATGGTTTTCTATAACCCATTTTCTGTCAACTGTTGACCCCTTTTACCAAACGAAACACGCCGAACTCCATCATTGTGACTCTCTGTAAGATGCGCATTCAATCAAGCAGCCTTACTAACTTGTAAGCATCTCTCCCCTCTGAGACATATCTTAATCTCAGGAACCATGTACACATCTTTCCTCTCACAGACATATCTTAATCTCAGGAACCACGTACACATCTCTCCCCTCTGAGACATATCTTAATCTCAGGAACCATGTACACATCTCTCCCTCTCAGACATATTTTAATCTCAGGAACCACGTACACATCTCTCCCCTCTGAGACATATCTTAATCTCAGGAACCATGTACACATCTCTCCCCTATGAGACATATCTTAATCTCAGGAACCATGTACACATCTCTCCCCTCACAGACATATCTTAATCTCAGGAACCATGTACACTTCTCTCCCCTCACAGACATATCCTAATCTCAGGAACCATGTACACATCTCTCCCCTCTGAGACATATATTAATCTCAGGAACCATATACACATCTCTCTCCTCTCAGACATATCTTAATCTCAGGAACCATGTACACATCTCTCTCATCTCAGACATATCTCAATCTCAGGAACCATGTACACATCTCTCCTCTCTCAGAAATACCTTAATTTCAGGAACTATGTACACACTTCCTGCTGCTCTCAGAAACAGCCAGACACTGGAGTCTTTCAAAACCGATTTGAAAACATGTATATTTCGCAAACACCTGTTGGGGTGATGTTGTCTACCATCTTTTCCAGCCAGCTATTATCTTCTAGATGTATAGTGGCCTGTGTTGTTTATGGTTGCAACGGATGAAAGACTTAGAATGGGTATTCTCGTATGTAGTTTTTGTAATGTTGCGTTTTGTATTTCAATGTGGTATAATATAGATTTTTTCATTTCACTTTTAAATGGATGACTTTGTACCGCGCTTCGAGCCTTTGGGGATGAATTGTGATTTTCAAATAAGCTGTATTATTATTATCATTATTATTATTATTAATATTAATATTATTATCTCTCCCCTCTCAACATATCTTAATTTCAGGAAAAAGTACACATCTGCTACATATGTTCTGTCACATTTCTCTTGCTGTACTCTCGGACACTACATTTCAGCTAAGTGTAATTTTTATTTCATTATGTTTTTACTGCGATATTTAAAAAAAAAAAAACTTATATATTTAGCATTATCGATGTGCTCTTGATAGAATTTGACATATGACGTCATGGGAAAAACCAGAATGCAGCAAGAGTGCATTGACACTAGAAAATATTTGCAACCTCTGCCCTAGAACATGTTTAACATCAGGTTTTTTTCCTTACCATTTCACGTTTACATGTCCCTAGTTCCACGTCTCCTAGGTTTTCGCCATAATTTATCCAGGCTGGCATTTGTCACTGCCACTGTGTACATCGTCCTCTGTCCCCGAAGGCCTACCATCTATCCACAGTAGTGATTCACTCTGTAATGGTGACGTGGAATCATCCAATCAAATAGAATTGAACATCCACAAATAAAAAAAAATGAAATTTTTATAATTAAGTAAAGTATGAAAAAAATGACTGTAATTTAGTGCAAGCTGTTTCAATTACGTTTCACCTACTTTGTGACTTCACATTGCCTAGCAACCCCCATCCCCCACCGTAAAACAAATGAGTGATCCCCCCCCCCCCCCCCTTAGGTGCGTTGCGTCATTTATGGATTGGCCCCTAAAAAATGAAATTTTTATAATTAAGTAAAGTATGAAAAAAATGACTGTAATTTAGTGCAAGCTGTTTCAATTACGTTTCACCTACTTTGTGACTTCCCATTGCCTAGCAACCCCCATCCCCCACCGTAAAACAAATGAGTGATCCCCCTCCCCCCCCCCCTTAGGTGCGTTGCGTCATTTATGGATTGGCCCCTAAAAGCTAGAGCTATCCGGGCCGCGGGCCGCAGTCTGGTGACCTTTGGTTTAGCTTATCAATGGTGTTGGCCAGGTTGTCAATGCTTTTGGCCAGGTTGTCATTAGTGTTGGCCAGGTTGTAATTAGTGTTGGCCAGGTTGTCAATAGTTTTGGCCGGCTTGTCATTAGTGTTGTCCTGAAGCATGTTTTATTTATTCCATTAAATCTTAATTTTATGCAAACGTATTTGGAAAAACTCCCGTATATTATTGTGAGACTCATAGGCTCATATCCATAGTGGTTTTAAGCTTGATAAAGAAGTTTTAAAAAAAAAATTAAACTTTAATAACGTTAAGATTTTGAATGAAAGTAACTTTTAACTTAAACTTTTCCACTGAAGAGTTTGGCTTCAATTAGATCAGAACTACATTCTTTCCTGTATCTAATATTAAATTAAGTTGTTTGTATACATCTTTTATAAAATTTAATCTCGAGCAGTTGGGGGGGGGGGGGCACAAAATTGATAAAACATGCATACCAGTAACACACTTAATAAGACTCCAAATTAGGCCCCCCCCCCTTACCTCCAAGACTCGCAATCGAAGATTTTTTCCACGCCCCTGAACTATATTAATATTCTAATGACCCACCCACTTTGTCATCAAATTTCCCTCATCTTCATCTTCAAAACAGGACAAACTTATTTTGGAGGTTGGGGGAGGTTGGGGGCTGGGGTTAAAAATTTGATCGAATGTGTTGTCATCAGCAACGGGTCTATGTGCCAAGTTTCAGCTCGATAGATTGACGGGAAGTGGGTCTACCAGCCAGCCACCAGCCAGCCAACCAGCCATCCAACCAGCCAGCCACCCAGCCTACCAGCCAGTCACCCAGCCAGCCAACCAGCCAGTCAACTAGCCAATCAACCAGCCAGCCAACCAGCCAGCCAACCAGCCAGCCAACCAGCCAGTCTACCAGCCAGTCACCCAGCCAGCCAACCAGCCAGTCAACTAGCCAGTCTACCAGCCAGCCAACCAGCCAGCCAACCAGCCAGCCATCCAACCAGCCAGTCACCCAGCCATCCAACCAGTCAGCCAACCAGCCAGCCATCCAGCCAGTCACGAACAAAAGTGAAGTTAATAGAAAGGATTTAAAATTTAAAAAAAAAGAAAAAAAAAACATTTGAAAAGCGTCACATTCGAAAGCAAGTAAAAAGTTTATTTTTCATAACCTAAATTTTGCTAAGTAATTAAATTAGAATTACTAAAGTAGATAATACAACAGTAGATAATACAACAGTAGGTAATACAACAGTAGGTAATACAACAGTAGGTAATACAACAGTAGGTAATACAAAAGAAGTAGTAAAAGTTGACGAGTCGTAGGTGAACTATTGTGGACTGCCTTGACGTTAAAGCACTAGAAGTACAACACAGGGCGTTTGGGGGGGGGGGGGGAGGCCTAGAGAAAGAGAAAGAGTGGACATTGCTTTAAATTTGGTTTAATTACATCAGACATGAAAACTGCTTTTAATTATTTAGTGGTTTATTGCTCTAGACCTGTTATTATTATTATTATTATTATTATTATTAGCTACTTTTATTTACAAATGTGTACATCATGTGACCTTACAGTTGTACACATCATCTGACCTTACAAATGTACACATCATCTGACCTTACAGATGTACACATCATCTCACCTAACAAATTTACACATATTCTCACCTTAAATTAGAATTTAAAAAATCAAACACAACAGATCTTGTCCGGAAAAAAAAAAACTCCCTCGAAGCTATCGAAACGCTAAGCACAAAATAATTTAAAATACGAAATGTTGGTGCCTGGAATGTGCGCACTTTGATGGATAATCTCAAAACTGTTAAAAAAGGGCGAATTAAACTTGTTGCCAAAGACCTGTCAAGATTAAATATCAACATCACAGTGAAATCCGAAACAGGCCTCCCTGAACACTGCAGAGCTTGGAGGCGCCCCCCCCCCTTTTTTTTTCTTCTGGACTGACCGCTGCTATAGCGAACGACGAGAAAGAAAAAGCTTTAAAAATGATTTAAAAGTGTCCCTCAAATCCATGGAATTTGACCCGAATTCATGGAAAGCACTTGTACAAGCTTGCCAGGCGGGATCTCTGTTTGAGCACACAAGCTTGCCAGGCGGGATCTCTGTTTGAGCACACAAGCTTGCCAGGCGGGATCTCTGTTTGAGCACACAAGCTTGCCAGGCGGGATCTCTGTTTGAGCACACAAGCTTGCCAGGCGGGATCTCTGTTTGAGCACACAAGCTTGCCAGGCGGGATCTCTGTTTGAGCACACAAGCTTGCCAGGCGGGATCTCTGTTTGAGCACACAATCTTGCCAGGCGGGATCTCTGTTTGAGCACACAAGCTTGCCAGGCAGGATCTCTGTTTGAGCACACAAGCTTGCCAGGCGGGATCTCTGTTTGAGCACAATGCTCGTAGAGCAAACACACCGCTCACGCCCAAAGGAAGCACACAGCAAGGAAAAGCAGATTCGACTCAAATCCAAATGGGACCCCCAAAACAACATCCTACGTGCGGGAAAGCTTTCCGAGCACAAATAAGACTGGTAATTTTTAAGCCACCTGCGTACGAACAGTCGAATTTAGACTTGGCGATCTTCTCCTGCGGACGACCAAAAACGTGTGACTTGATTATGGAAATAAATTCTTAACAGTTTCAGTACGATTGCAGAAGACCAGTTGGACCTCTGTACGGAGATTGCTCAATCTGACCCTACTCACTTGATTCTTGTAATAAACATTAGCAGTGACGTCATGTACAAAACTCATTGGCTGGTTATAGTTATATGGTTTTAAATTTCTTTTCTACAACTGTAGAAATTTTTTTTGCTATAAATTGACCGATGTATGCCAGTTTATGGTCAACAAATTTATTCCAAGTTTGATTCACATAATTATTTCACTTTAGTTTTGGCGACTGTCGTGTATATGGTGTTTGAATAGTGTTTTTGATATATATTAAATGGATTTCTTGTGGGACAATAATATACACAACAAAGTGGTGTCTTGTATCGTCCTACAAGTATTCACCCCAGTCTAACCACGTCAGATGCAATCAATATCTACGCCTTCTTATCAATGGAACATCTATTGGTACACACAAGAACATCTATTGGTACACACAAGAACATCTATTGGTACACACAAGAACATCTATTGGTGCACACAAGAACATCTATTGGTACACACAAGAACATCTATTGGTACACACAAGAACATCTATTGGTACACACAAGAACATCTATTGGTACACACAAGAACATCTATTGGTACACACAAGAACATCTGTTGGTACACACAAGAACATCTATTGGTACACACAAGAACATCTATTGGTACACACATTTCAAACACGTTAGCATCCTACTCAAGTTTACATTTAGAATGGAGTAGACAGACCCTGCAGCATCCATTGTCAGCTACACTATTGTCAATAACGACAATTTAGGGGACATTTTTCTTTATACAATTCAACTTCGCACGTGCTAACGGAAATCCATTTTTAGAGTACCGAAACGAATTTCAAAGGCCATCATGTCCTTAGCTTGAATCCAGTAGAGATATCTTTATCAACGGGCTTTTGTAAAACGTTTCCGTTCACTTCGACTTTGTGGTCTTACCACAAAACACGGAGAGAAACACCTCCCGGAACTTAGTACTGACATTATAATACACAAAGAAGTTGACACTGGCGTTGACGAGACCAGCGGCGTACACAATGGTGTACACAAGTGTGTACAGGCTGTAGTAGGCCTTGCCGACGTCCATCTCCGGCACGAATGGGCGCGTGTACGCCACCAGCAGAACGGGCAGGTTGCAGATGAAGAAGATGACAGCGACGAGCACGACCACCTGAGCCACCCTGGCGTCCTTGTTGGTCATCACTTTGGACGACCCGTCGATTTCTTTCGGGCTCTCCCTGACGCCGTTGGCGTGTTTAGCAGCAACGCCCTGAGTCTGTCCCTCCACGGCGGCGCGCTGGCGAAACTTGGCAGACGACTTGATTCCGGAGATCATGATAAAGGCGCTTATTGTGATGATGATTTGCGCCACGGTGGGCAAGACGATGCCGTTGAATGTGTCCACGAAAATGTCAATCTGACGTCTGTTGTCAGACACCAGCAACACGAGCCGCGTCATGTTTCGTGCGTCGTCTGCCTTCCATTGCAGAGTCTGCGTCGCCCACGCAGGCGCAAAGCACGCCATTCCAAAAACCACTATGCCAATATTCGTATACACGGCTCTGGTTTTGGTGAAAATATCTTTGACTTTGAAAGGAACCACTATGCAGATACATCTCTCGATTGATAAATAAACTGTGACGATTGTGGATAAGACGTAGGTACATCCCCGTGTGTAGCCGATGTAGACGTACTGTATCGCCAAGATGTCTGCGTCTCGGAGTGGAAAGTGATCGTTGATGATGAAGCAGACAACCGTCATCAGACAGAGGGCGCAGTTAGCGAGGTCCCACGCTGAAAGAGCGATGAACGTAATGGTGACGCCGTCCTTGACCCCCTGCTTGACGTAAACAATAATATTGAGGGTGTTAGAGATTATGCCACATATGGCCACCAGTGAACAAAACACATCCATGACAGCTATCATGAAATAAAACATGGCTTCTGGGCTGATCAAAGGACTCGAGTGTTTTGTATTTTCAGTGAACTTTTCTGTAGTCTGCGATGGCTCCGTGGTCACCATCTTGAAACTGTCGGTAGTTGTCATCTCAATGACGCTTTGATTCAGTAGTACCTTGTTCAAATCGTACCTTATTCTACAAGTACCACATTCTAATAGTACCTTATTAGTAGTACTTCATGATAGTAAATTATTCGTCCCTCTCATAAAACACAAACTGCCTATTCTGTAAATAAGACTTACTTAATGTCAAACGTTTATTTGACAAATTACATTTCAATAGCCATTTAAGGTATTCAAGTTTCAATATTTGAAATAGTTTGACCCTTTTACTGAACATACATGCAATTGTCCTCTCTCATCACCTCAGGATTCTTCCCACAACGGGAATGTCTTTATCTTTCAAGCTCGAGCTCGATATATGGTGACATTCTCTGTACTAAATACACGATCATTGTGAGAAGAGAGTCGCCTATCAGCACTAAGATAATACACAGAGAGTTCATCGAAATCAATCCATCGTTTGGATTCTGACCACACAGAAGAGTTCCTATACAAACAAATGTTGAGATTTTCGCTCTAGATGTCGTGCTGATGAAATATGCTGTGGAGCAGGTACAAAGTAGGACATTTTATTCATTGGACTAATCAAGGGTTCGCTCGTTTGTACTACGATTCATAATTTAGATTTTTTTTGTTTTTTTTAATTTGTATTTTTTTTTAATTGTTTGCAATGAGATCTCCATTCAAGAAGTTAAACTTTTCATGACCTTACAATCTTGTTTTATTGTATTATTTGCGTAATTTATTTTTAACTGTAGCACAATTACGGGTAACTTTAAAAGAAAAATTATCAAACATTTTAATGTCAATTTCATGCATTATGACTTTATAATTTCTATTATGTAAAATAATATTTCCATCCTTTTTACAGAGGAATAAACGGAGTAGAAAATGTCACGGCAGAAATGGCTAAATTTCTTCTGATTTAAAAATACAATTTTCATAAAACAAAACTACAATGTATCATTAAGAGAAATGCAATTTTGGGGAATAATTCCCCCCCCCCACTACACCGCTTGAGACAATAATGTGACCATACAAATCACATATTCTAGAAGGAGCGAAGAAACACAATGATGGAGGAGCCAGTTAGTAAACAGGAGATAAGATCCACAAAAATATAATCTTTTAATTTCATTAAAACCAGTGATGGGGAAATTTGTGGGGTTTTTTTTTAAAGAATTTCCAAAGGAGTGGACTGTTTGGCTTGCGCAGACAATTCGTCGCTTATTTATGCAACTACCAACAAAACAAACAAACAACAACAACAACCCACATAACTAAAGTTATAGTTAAGTGCCCGAAAATTTTTACTAATTTTGAATGAGTTTTTTTTAATAATCTTACAGCATCTCCAACTAAACATGATTACAACATTGCGTTCTCAATTAGAACTAGTACACACTCAAGGATTGGATTACTATATATAGAATGTTTAGATATTTTTTAGAAACTTTTGTTTCCTGGCATCACTTTAAGATGTGGTTTCTTTTTCTTTTTTTAAACTAAATGGAGGCCTATGTTGTGTGTAGGCCTATGTTGTATGTAGGCCTATGTTGTATGTCACGTATTGTATGCATGTATCGAGTCGACAAACAAATTTAATAAATGATCGCTAATTGGATTTGATCATGATAATCATGTATTGATTGGTAGTTTCAAAGAATTATCCCTTTCCGTATTGTTTGTTGTTAAAGAAAAAAAATCTCCTGACAGTAATGTGTGTCAACATCTCCGATTGTTTAACGTAAGGAGACAGCCATGATAATTGCTATCCGTGCTTGATGTGTTTGCTGGTCACGGTGCCAGATGAGTTGTCTGGAGGGAGGGTTCAATAATTTCGGGCGAGGTTTAATAACCTCGCAAATATTGGATCTATCCAGAGAGAAAATAATTTAAAGATCGGAGATTGTTTTAACATGTCAAATGATAAAGTCTATTGTGGCCTGATTAAGTCTGCTAATATTTTCTGAAGTCCCAGGGAACAACTTAATTTTTGTTTCTATTATTATTTATCCAAACATTTTCGACCGTAACTACATATGTAACACGTGTCAAATAGTCCGTCAGTGTTACGCGGAAGAATTTTGCGAAAAATAAAACTAATTTATATTCTTTAAAAAAATGTAACTTTTTCAAATATATTGTTCCCGGTTGTGTGTGTATGGCTTATGGTGTTAGTGTATATGGCTAATGGTGTATGTGTATATGGCTTATGGTGTTAGTGTATATGGCTTATGGTGTATGTGTATATGGCTTATGGTGTTAGTGTATATGGATTATGGTGTATGTGTATGGCTTATCCTCTTTTTCCTAAATAAAAAATTATTTGTTTTGTTTGCGGTGTTAATTAAATCTTCCGAACGGCATGTCTTTGTTCTCTAGGGTGATCGGTAGCACTCAATGTATTCTACACCTGAAGACAGAGTTAGTGGCGTAATATCAAGTAACAAAGCTGCACTTGAAAGGACACACAGTCTAGTCTTATAGAAATAGAAATGGTAAAAATTATCCGTGTAAACGAGTGGTGCCAAGTTTTCTGTAAGACTAAAATTGTCATTTGGTGTCAAAACATAGATGCAATACTTGGACCGGGAGGTGGTTGTGGGGGGGGGGGGGGGGGGGGGGGGGGGGGGGGGGGGAGTGTGACGAAATCAAGCTGTCCTTAAAAGTTCAATGTACTCAAACCATTTTCTCAGAACATCCCCTCCTCCCCCCCCCCCCACACACACACAAACTTTTTTTTTTTCGTTTGAGTTCAAGACGAATTATTCCTGGTTGATTTTTGTGTCACATGAATGGCTCACGCTACTGACACACATTTTGACCAGCGGATTGAATGACGCGGTAGAAACACCCAATGTACTAGCTGGGGTCATAAGAGATTAGTCTCAGGCCCTGACCAGAATATGTGCGTTAGTTAGCAGAACCCCCCACCCCCCCCCCTCTACCCATTTAGAAATAATCACATCTTAGAGTTACATTATGGCTTCTTATATGACGACATCTAGTTTCACTTTATGACGACTCCACAGATTCCAATGAATTCTTTATCTGCATTGCCGATGTGGGAAACAAAGGTAACCCAGGGAAACCGGTCATACTTTTTTTATCTTTTTTGTTGTTGTTTTTTTTTGGCTGTAAATTTGCTTTATAAAGATGATAACTTCAAACAAATATTTAAAAATAATACTAGTGACATGACTGCCAACTCACGACATGACTGCCAACTCACGACATGACTGCCAACTCACGACATGACTGCCAACTCACGACATGACTGCCAACTCACGACATGACTGCCAACTCACGACATGACTGCCAACTCACGACATGACTGCCAACTCACGACATTCAACTCACTACTTGACTGATTACTCACGACATTGTTGGGAGTTGTTAACCTTGGATGGCAACTTATCCAAGAGAAGGCAAACTCTGATAATAAACCAGGAGATGGAGTCCCGTAAGTGGTAGGACACTAACACAACGAAAATATCGACAAATCATGCAACCTGGAACCAAAAAGAGCGCAATGAGAAACACAAAACACTGCTTGTCATCTGCTGCATCCTCTTCTATTTCCCCTCGTCTTGATTAAGTCTTGCATTGGATCAAATAGACCAGGAAGAGAGAGTGGGGCTGACGAACTGAGCAACTCTCGCTCGCTTTAAACAAAATACAGTTCAAGTTAAGGCTAGTATATAAGTCAAAGCGTTGTGCATCTTTGCGTGTGAAGGACGAAGTATAACTAATACAACATTATATAACCGTGTAAAATACAATGCTATTAATGTTAATTTTAAATTTTAAAAAAGTCTCAATAAAAGGATACTGCCAAATAGGCGTCCCCATTTACTTTCATTTAGCTTTTTTCTGGTGAATGGACTTAAGCTGAAACCTATTTGGCTGCACTGAGCTATTAGGAAGGCATGGCTGACTAATTATAGTCTCCCTCTTACCTCGGTTAATAACCATATTCTATGGTCTGTTTTTAATAGAATTTGTAGAATATTGTGGACGGTTTGAGACATCATCTAAGGGAACAGGCTATATAAAGCCGATAGAGTGAATGACAGTGGACCAGACGACAAATGAGATTTACTTTGAACGTGTGCTATTTTTGATAGGAAGCTTTGTTTACTGTGTGTGTGTAGATTTCTTTTCATCATTGTACCCATTTGCACATTGTGTTTTCTTCAACATTGTACCGGTACAAACCTATCATTATTCGGTAAGTCGATAGTTTTCATTATATTTCTTTTTGTTTTTGATTTTGTCATTTATTATCATTATTAGCTTTAAAAAAAACAACATATGAATTGTAATTATCCCTGGTTTGAGTATCGTATTCTTTTTTATTGTATTTATCATTTGGTACCGTCTTTTGTTGTGTACTGTTTTAGAACGAACCCTATACTAAGAGATTAATTTTTTTCCCTTTTGATAACGGTACGTAACAGTTACAAACTATCTTTTCTTAGTTCTTCCGTCTCCAAGTGCCAGTGGCAAAGGTTTCTGGTCGGATGTCTTTAAAGTGTTATGTAAACCATTTTCTTGTGTCGACGCCCTTGACAAACCCGACATCCATTCTTTTGTGTCTATTAAAATCTTTAATAATAGACACATTTTTTATTTTTTAAATTTCCCAATGAAATAAGGGCGATTTACTTATGATCTGTTATTTGTGCTGATCATAAGTGATTAGTTTACACATTTTAGACCGTCTACAAAGTCAGTGAATCAATAATCCTGAAATGTGTCAACGCCGTAGGACTATTTGAACCTATTTGAATCCGGAAACTCCTGCAACGATTCTTGTGCCCAGCTGTATCATCCACCGTCATGTTGATTGATGATAAAAAAATATTTTGTGGCCCATTGATTTATGAGAATGGTCAAAGACTGCTGGGAGCCAAGAGATCGCATCTGACGTCACAGTTTGGGACAAATCAAATCATGTTAAGATACTTAAGTTTTTTTTTGGAATGATTTTGGCTTTGGGTTTGAATTCAGAATTTGCCTTCTCTTTGATGAGTTGCCTTCTCTTTGATGAGTTGCCTTCTCTTTGTTGAGTTGCCGCCCAAAGCTAACGCGTACCATCCACCCGGGGTGCTTGGGATGTTGGCTTTGGTGAAGATTGAACTCTATACCACCAGCTATTTGGATTGAGTCAGTTTAGACCGTTAGGCAACCCAGTTACTTAATCAGATAATCTGCCTGTGCATGGAAAATTGATACCACACCCCTTCCCCCCCCCCCCCCCCCCAAAAAAAACCCAAAAAAACCCCACCGAAACCAACCAGGAGAACACATGAGAAGTGAACATGTTATACCACCAGTTATTTGGATTGAGTCAGTTTAGACCGTTAGGCACCCCAGTTACTTAATCAGAGAATCGGCCTGTGCATGGAAAATTGATACCCCACCCCTCCCCCCCCCCCCCCCCCCCAAAAAAAACCCAAAAAAACCCCACCGAAACCAACCAGGAGAACACATGAGAAGTGAACATGTTATTTTGTACACTCATAAAAGAAATACTCTAGAAATTACTAAAATTTTCGTAGAGCTACCATCATTTGTGTCAATCATTTTTTCCTTGTCACAAAACGAGCTCTAAATTCAACATTATGCAGAATCTGTTCACTACCCTTGTGATAGACTCTACGCTTGTGATAGACTCTACGCTTGTGATAGACTCTACGCTTGTGACAGATTTCCTACATGGCTTATTCATGAATGACCTGACAAGGTCACATATGAACACAACAGATTAACTAAAGAAGTCAACATTGAGGTTTTTTAATAGAATGTTACTTGACTATATAATATATTATTGTATACACGCAAATTAAATTAAGGCAGACAAAATATTTTTTTTTTCATTTAGCTTTGCCTCGTAACTCAGAGCCCCTTATCATCTTTACTGGTGAATACTAAATTTTTCTTTTGTCTTTACGTCAATACAACACATTTAACAAGTCCAGTTTATTTTTGGTATTGTAAACATGCGCAGAAAGCATGTTCATGACGTCCTTTCATTTTATTTTTTCCAAAATGAAAGTTTAAAAAAACAACAACAAAAAACAACTCTTTTACATTGACACTTCAGTTCCAGCCTTGAGCGTACAGCCACTTAGCTCTAGCGATGACGTCGTTGCTGTAGTCGTTGCCGGTGGTTCCGATGTCGAGTCCACCTAAAGTCTTGACGTTCCCCACGCCAAAGTTGTAAGCAGCAACACCACCTGGTCCGGGACATTGACACAAACATAAAAATTGTCGTTCTCAATGACCAAATCATTTGACGTCATCAACAGGAGAAATTGATCAAAAATATCTTTACTTCCTCAATTTAATCACACTATTCTCGTTGCTGGGTTATTTTGAAAAAGATAAATGTGTACTGTATTATACAAAATGCATGTACCTTGTAGGGCCTGACTTTGGGTCCAGCTGGGGTGTTTGGTGTGCACCTGAGTAAAGTGACAATACCATGTAAACATTATGTCGATTCTTAAAGGAAGATTTCATTGATAACTTTAAAAAGGACTTCAATAGAGATATAAATTTAGACTTAAATGGATATATAAATATGGTCTTAATTGAAGATATAATTGTGGACTTAAATAGAGAGACATGAATATGGTCTTAATTGAAGATATAAATGTGGACCTAAATAGAGATATAAATATGGTCTTAATTGAATAGATAAATGTGGACGTAAATGGAGATATAAATGTGAACATAAATGGAAATATAAATATGGTCTTAATTGAAGATATAAATATGGACTTAAATGGACATATGATTTGGTCTTAATTTGAAGATATAAATGTGGAGTTAAATGAGATATAAATTGGAGACTTAAATGGAGATAAAAATATGTTCTTAATTTAAGATATCAATTGAAACTTGAATGGAAAATTAAATATGGTCTTAATTGAAGATATAAGTGTGGAATTAAATGAGATATACATTGGAGACTTAAATGGAGATATAAGTTGAAGATATAAATGTGGTTTGAAATGGAGATAAAAATGTAACATAAATGGAGATAGACTATAAATGTGACGTTTAAATAAGATAAAAGGGGGACTTTTCATTATTCAAAATAACTTGTTTGTTTTCTTTTCAGGAATGTTATGAATGATGTAGGTGTTAACAAAGTCTCATATCTTTAAATAATTTTACAATAGCCAGCCAAACTTACGTCCAAGTTGTATGTCATGTAAGAGCATTGAAGAGTGTCCCGTCCACTTTTGGAGAATATTTCTTACCTTTATTGACGTATCACCTACCGGTTATGCTATACTACTTGTTTTTAACTCACCTGATTGATGTAGGGTACCAGGAGTCTGTGGACCATCATCTCAATGTGAGCACAGCTGTCCCATGGCACGGACTCACAAGGCAGACCGGACTGAGTGATGTCACACTGAGAAACAGCATGGAGATACTTCGTCAACATTTGGCCTTTCTGTACATAGGTATGTACGTTCATGAAACTAGATTTAAGTCAAATAAAGAAATCGTTTGTTGTCCAGGTAATTAAAAATCCCGTTATATTTGATAAAGTTTAGAAAACTCGACCTGTAAGATACCCCAGGCTGCTCCCTTATCACCGTAGCCCCCAGTGCCAACTAAAAGACTTCCGCCTCTGGATTCCCGACTCGCAATGGCTGCAATGACTGAAGCCTGAATACCTGTACCCAAAAAAATAGTATTTGCAAATGTAAGAATCTTATATCATACTTTTTTGCATGGTAATTTTAAAGTGCTTGTAACAAGTGTTATAAAGTAACATAGCTAATTTTTTTTTCAGGAAGGTACATTATAAATTTAAATGTACGTTTGGATTTGCGTCAAAATTTTTGTTCAGAACTAGCTCAATTTTTAAAGCCTTTAATATTAGCTTTGCTTTTGTTAGTGGCTGGGTTGCTAAATCTCCGGACGGCTAATTGGCCCACTTCCCGTCAAGCTGTCGAGCTGAAACACATTCTATCAAATTTTCAGCTCCACGCCAACCCCAAAAATTCCGTTTTCCCTGTTTGCCAAGAGGAGGATAAAATGAAATTCCCGATGACTGCGCAAAATGAGATTTTTTTTAAAAATATTATATCGCAAGTGCGTTTCGTGCGTACATTTTTGTTCCCCCTGAAATAGTGGGTGAAATTAATCTGCTCTTTAACAATGGGTTGGTCATTAGAATATTGTTATAGATCAGGAGGGGGGGGGGTGAAAAAAAGGTCCGGTAAAAAGCAAGGGGGAGGGGGGAGCACTAGTTGGGATTCTTATCAAGTGCTTTCCTTGCACGCAGGTTGCGTCTAGTTTTAGGCCCCACGCCCGCTGCTCGGTATTAAATTGTGTCAAGGATTTAGACTCAAAACTTAACTTTAGGGATTGTTGAATTTTCTTTAAATAAATTATACATATTTGCTACGATATTATTTTATTAATAATTTGTTAGACTTTCCCGCCCTCATTGAGCTTCACAAACATACATACAGTTGCTGTCAGCGCTGGCCTGGTAGCAGCTTTTGTGTTGGCTCAAGGCGGGAAGATCATGTTGAACGTCAACGATAGATGCAGCGACACCTTGGATATGAAACAAATAATTGGACTGATTTTTGACATATCACTTGATGTTTGCACAAGGAAGTTTATATCAATATTAGAGCATAAAGATTTGTTGTACATCAAAATTAGAAAATTAATATGATGTACATTAAATTACAGAATCGAGAGGATGTATATCAAAATTAGAAGCTCAAAATGTTTTTATATTTAGATAATAAAAAAGATCAATATTTTGCAATGTATCAAAAATAGAAGATCAAGATCACAAGGTCACTAGGACATTTTGACTTGACATTTTTACCTCCTGAATGTTTCCCTGTCGGGTTGAGACTCGTTATGTCGCCGTGACATGTTCTTGGTGCTGCAAATATGGGCCCTACATATCAATAAATGTAAAAGACATTATAACATATTTTAAGTCAGACATTGGAAGCAACACATTTTCAAACACACGGGCAGCCTCTTGGTTATAGTAGGTTTTCAACGCAGATCGGAAGCCTACTGAACCTCAGTGTTACCTGATGGTGTGGGAATTCATCATTTCTCACCAACGCTGAAGAAAGACTTAACGAAATAGAAAGTAATAGCGCTCAAACAAAACTTATTTGATGCACTAGACATTTACACAAATAAAAACATTTGGCAGATACATCCCGCGCTATTTTCTACACATACCTAAAATCAGCGCAAAAACCTAAAATCAGCGCAAAAACCTAAAATCAGCGCAAAAACCTAAAATCAGCGCAAAAACCTAAAATCAGCTCGATCGGGGTATTTTCTGTCCCACAAAGTTAGGACCGACAGAAAGACACACTCGTGTGTTCTTCAATTTATCAGAAATTATTAGCATGCTCCATGTGGCTGTTACAAAAATATTAAAAAATCCCTGTTAAAGTAAATGTTGTCTTTTACTGAGTGAAGATCAATGTCACGTGACGTTGGTCTTTGGCGCTTGAGAAAGACTTTGAAGATGTCTTGTGTTAAATTGCTCTGGTTTAAAATGTTTGTCTTTGTAAAAAAAAAAAATCATATTTGTTCTGAAAATGAAAACGTGCATTGCATTAAAATAATTTCATTTAAATGGACCAGTAAAAGAAACTTATCTCTTTAGCTTTACTCATTTTAAAGTGTCTGTGAAATGTGTACATAATCTCCAATCACGGCAGTGTACAAGTTGCGAATAAAGGAAAGCTTACCAGATCTGTCGGATAATGTCGCATAGAATACCCCGAGGCTGGTGAAAATCCTCAAGTGATCAAAACTTGAGAATCCTTTACTTCGAGGCATTATAAACCATAAATTATAGTATCAATGACGTCAGGATTCTAAAAGAAAATAAAATTTAAGTTGCCATTAAAAACTCAAACTCAAGACAATTTGACCGAGGAACTTATCAAACTTCTCGACACTGTTATGGCACGGCTAACTACAAGATATCATTATCAGATTTCAGACAGGAGAAAGGAAATGCCACCTACATGGACTCGAACAGTTACAGTTATGATCTCAGTGCGACAGGAGTTTGTTTTGAGATCAGTTTTCAACTGGGTTTTTGTTGTTGTTGTTGTTGTTATCGGAGGCTTTTTAGCCAAAACGTTCATTTTCTGTTCTTGTCCTTATTCAGGTTTTCCTCTACCCTTTACATGCTTCTTATTGCTTCCTCCTGAACGCAGTTTATTCACAAACCGTCTCATCTCATTAGACCTGAACAAAGTGGTGCCCGGAAATTTATTTGAAAGAAATTCGTTTGACACAAAAGTGATCGACGGAAATTTGATCGAACGAAAGTTTGGTCGAATTTTATCTTCAGTTCACACGATCTAAATTTTGCGTCAAATTTCTTTTTGAACGCAATATTTTGTTTTACTATATAGTATACTGCGTTCAAGAAGAAATTTAACGCAAAATTTGATCGTGTGTACTGAAAATAAAATTTTACCAAACTTCCGTTCGATCAAATTTCGGTCGATGAATTATCGGTCGACGAATTTCCCGTCAAAAAAAATTCTTTCAAACAAATTTCCGGATACGGAACAAAGTTTTTGGTCTTTACTGGTGTTATTTAAGACCCACGTCTTTAGCTTATCTATTTAGTTGCATTGACCCAGTGTAATATTTTTAACTGATTGTACGTGAACTAAACTATCCGTTCGATAAAAACACAACTTAATTTTCGTTAAATATTTGACACACAGGGCTGAACTATATTTGTTTTATAGTAAGTTTGAATTACTTAAAGTCATCGAATTTTAAACTTTTTATTCAGTCCGAATTTAAAATAGTAAAGTTCATAAAACTTAGATAACTTGTCCAAAACTCTCGCGAGATCACTAACCTCCCTTCCTGGGTTCAATCGTCACGCATGACGCTCGCTGCTTGATCACTCTTTTTTTTCCGCTTATCACAATTCATATGAAATATGTTGTGTGGTAGGGCCGTTAAGAAATGGAAGCAGACACACCAGATGCAAGACATACATAAGAGATACTTACGAACGAACTTACTAAGAAAAAAGTCACAATTACGATTGTTGATATTATGTTTATCAATTATTAATTAATATGAACATGCCAATCCACAAACCGGCACTACCTCCCGTCACCATATTATAACACACTTGACTCGGTCAGTTACGCTTGGCTACACACCACTTATTTATCGACGTGCAACGCATTTGGGTTTTGCTTTAATCAAGTGCGTACACAAAGATGTGTTGATGTGTTATTTCACCCTTCATGAAGTCCCAATGAATGGACTGCTGAGCAAACATAACATTAGTTGGACGATTCACCCAGGAAGTACCTCTACCGATCTTCAGAACAAATACAACACACTAGTTTATACTTCATACAGGAAGTGCCTCTGCTGATCTTCAGAGAATATTTTAGTTTTGGGGGTGTGCGTCACAAATTGTGTTACATATTTCAAACTCATATTTCTTGATGCGTTTCTTTTTTAGATCTTCTTCTTCTTCTTCTATTTGAGGGGCCCACGATTAATTTGTTGACCTACCACATTATGAAGCCCCATTGAAATATGATTTGATCTTTTAAACTAGTGTTTCTCTCAGGCATCTCTGCGGAGATTGTCTTCCCAGAGAAAAATGTGTACATCAATCAAGCGATTATGTAATATTTAAAAAAAAAAAAATTACTAAATTTTAACTTTTACAATTCTTGTAATAAAATAAGTGAAATAGTGTAATAAATGAAATATACGTGGGTGGTTTATATTTTGTGACTGAATATTTAAGGCACTTCTAGATACAGCATTCGATATAAATAGTGCTTTTCCAAAAATAGACCGCTACTAGTTTATAGGACATAAATGAAGGACCTTGTTCAAGCTGTGTTAAGGATATAGCAGAACACGTTATGTGGAAGTTTGAATTAAGAAACAGGACAATGAGACAAGAACGTTTCGGCTAAAAGCCTTCACCAGCAGACCGCACAGATGAAATTAGGACAAGAAATAGAAGCATGTTGAAGACTAATTTCAGTTTAAACCTCACCACTTCTTACCGTTGTTCACATATATTAGTAATTTTATTTATGTATGGTTTACCTGGTTTACCTGGTTTACATGTATGGTTCTTCTTCTTTATTCTATATTTCTATATTCAATGTATTGATAATTCATTCTGGCTCCTATGTTTGTAGAAGGGTTTCGCTATGTAACTGTGCATGGTTTTGAAGGGGATACGTCAGCAAGGACTACTCAGCGATGGTATTATGAACGGGTGCTTGGAAGGAGGCAGTAGCCACAAATGTGTCAAGTGTAGTCGCCTCAACAGCTGCTGAAGGAAGCTTGTTCCAGTCCCTGGTTGTCTTTGGTGTTTCTTTAAGGCATCTCTCTGGTAAGGGTGGGCACTGCCCTCCCCCGGAGCAAGTCAAATCCCACACCCCCGTAGAAAGATTCTTAAAAAATAAAGCGAAATTATAACTTTAAATAGAACCAAGGAAATCACCATTTTTTAAAAAATGTTGTGAATGGTGGCTTTCATTCTATTAGAGTGAAGACAATGGTGGAACCAATCAATAAACATTATGCTGTATGTATATGATGTTTTGACAGATAATTTTAAAACTCGATATTTTTTAATCCTATAAATTAACTTCGTGTTTGTTTGGTTGCTGGCTGAAAAAAATCTTCGGACGGCTAATTGACCCACTTCCCAGTAACCTATCGACGCTCAAACTTGGCACACAGTCTCGTTGCCGATGACAACACATTCTTTCTAATTTTCAGCGCCCCACCCTCAACTCTAACCCCACCCCCCCAAAATAAGTTTTTCCTGTTTTTCAAGGGTTGGGGGGGGCGGAATGAAGGAAATACGAAGTACAGGGGCGTAACTTAGTTGAAGCCAAAAGAACACCCTTGGTACCGCCACAACCAGGGGGAATACAAGTTATGTATGACACAGGGTGCCCTAATGCCTAATTTGTGCTCTGATAGATGTCCTGATAGATTCCCTGGTCGATACCCAGATAGATGCCCTGATAGATTAGATAGATGCCCTGATAGATGCCCTGATAGATGTCCAGATAGATGCCCTGATAGATTAGATAGATGTCCAGATAGATGTCCAGATAGATGTCCAGATAGATGCCCTGATAGATTAGATAGATGCCCTGATAGATGCTCTGATAGATGCCCTATAATTCTGAAATTTCACCTCCCTGTATTATTTTCCTTTAATTTTGTATAGACAGGCTATTTAGATTTCAGGGATAAAACTTAGCTCAAGTCAAAAGCATACGCTCAAGTAAACGGAATTTCGTTTATCTTTGATGAAGGTGTGGAGGAGTTAAAGCTCATCATGGTTGCCGTTATGCCAGGTAGTGCAGCTAAGGTAAGTGCCACCCTCCGCGGGCTAAGATTTTTCCCACCCCTCCTCAACGACAAATCTCTGCAGCAGGTGAAGAGGCCATCCCTCCATGAAATGAAGAACAACCCCCCCCCCCCGCGGGGCCCCCCCCCCCCCCCCCCCCCCCGGAGGGGACCTTCCCCCTCCGCCCCCTCTCTACGTCACTGTCACTGCCACCCAAACATATGAAATCAACCCCCCCCCCCAACCCGTCACTGCTTTAATCATTTTCGAAAACTAAACTTTAGGCCAACGTGTCATTTGTTTCTGGCTTAACAAACTGTGCAAAGTGTGACCTTGACATTGACCCACCTGGTGTAGGTGTGGGCGTTAAACAGATTCGGTGGACCTGCTCTCAAAACAAAATGCAATTGCTAGTAATTAACTGCATGATATTTTTAATTTATTTTTTTTTTATTTTAAGAAATTATAATAATTTAAAAGAATTTTTCTTTTAAATTTAAATATTTATGTTTTCTTGCATTCAGTTTTAGCGGTGTGTTTGTCACGGGACTTTTAAGAAGGAATTGTTTGATTTGTATGAGAAATTTGGTTGATTTCATCCATCGTTCATACATTCCATGTACTGAAATAGAAATCAAATACCAACATGGAGCAATTAACATTCTTTTTTTTTAAATTTAATTCAGTCTCAAAGTAAAATTTGCCAGATAAGAGCTGCTACCGCTAGGTAAGAGTTGTTAGGTAAGTTTCCAGGCTAGAGCTGCCAGGTAGCAGCTGTCATGTGTGAGTTGTCAATGAAACGGTTTCCGGGGAACGGTTGACAGATACAGTTGACCAGTTGCGGTAGTGTGGTGACCAGGTGCGGTAGTGTGGTAACAACTCACCTGTGAACACTCGTTACACTGTTTCGTAATTGTGGATAGCATACAAAGGTCAGCGGTGCGCAGGTCACACTCTCAACCTCTTCGCTTAACAGCACAGAGTGTCATTTTAATTATTGTTGACAGGCCTGTACTACTAAGGCATGAAATTTTATTCCAGAGGTGTAAGAGACCATTACATTACGCGACATCTCGTGCACTGAAATGCTTCATATCATGAACCGATTAACAACAGAGCAAAACTTGCGCTTATTCTGCATTATATCTATTTGTGTGGATATATTTTTATCCACTATCCTTTTTTTTTTCCTGTTGTTGTTGAAAGTTTTTTTGTTTGTTTGTTGTTGTTTTTTTTTGGCCTATCGTATTTTAAAACATGACCTCAAACAAATATAGATAAAACTGAGATTTTACTAAATGGAATACTTAAATTATGTAGCTAGGTTCTGAGCTAAGTCAATATTTTCTTTGGTTTCTTCAACATGAATGTCTTCCCACGATGTCAGGGACCTGTAGAGAAGTGTTGTATGACGGTCCCCTGACCGAACTATTTCTATCTCCAGATAAAACAAGGCTGACTTCTCATTGGTTATTTATTTTAAATGTTTTTCCAAGTGCTTTTTGTCATAGAGCGAACTGAACCGGGCCAAACTGCAATCATCTCTAGTTACTGACAATGAAAGCAAAGACAAAGGGAAAATCAAGCACCGAAGGATTGAGTTGTCTCCATCTAAGCCAGCGGTTCTCACCCTGTAGTTGGCGAACAGGGGTCGCCTAACACCAAAGAAAAACACATATTATGTATTAGCAGCGAAAAAAAATGTATGGTTTGGGTTCACCACAATATAAGGAACTGTTTTAAAGGGTCGCGGCATTTCGAAAGTTGAGAACCACTGGTCTTATCATCATCTTTAATTTTAATAACTAACAAGGAGCTCAAAGATGATTTTGTTTATAACTTTAACACATTTATGAAAAATTCACTGACAACATGATGTTGGTAATATGTGAGGTAGAGACCGAACGAATTTTGGCTTCGGTGCCGAAAGTTGCCATTTGATCACTTACGGCCTAGTTTCGGTTTCGGCCGAAACTGAAAATTTAACATTCGGTTTAGTTTCGGTTTTGACCGAAACTGAAAATATAACTTTCGGTTTCATTTCGGTGTCGGCCGAAAGTTATAGAGACTTACGGCCGTCTGGCCGGAAGTGACTGAGGTTTTCGGTCATATACCAGAAGTCAGACCGTCTGACTGCCGGCAATCCAATATTCTTTATTGCTTGACGTCTTGCTGTCATCGTATGTTATTTGATTAATACACTGCGAAAACTGCTCACAGCTATTTGATGACTTACTTGTCCTATGTTTCCAAAAAAATAAGTTTCATATAGACCTAGGCAAATGTTAGTTTTGTGGAAAAAAAAAAAACAATTGGAATTGCAATAGTTATATCATTATTTTTGTTTTTAATTTTTTTGGTTTATCATTATCATGCTCATCAATGTTGTCTTAGGCAAAGGTAAATACTATTGAATAATCCTAGTGAATGGTAATATTACCAATATTATTATTTCATTTTTTTTTTTAATTAAGGAAACTTATGCTTTTTCAAACAACCATTTCTTGAAATTCATCATAATCATGGTCATCAACCTTGTCATTGATGAAATAACATGTATCACGAGTTCGTATTTTACTTTCATGATATTGGCGACAATGTACATGTCGTTTGCGAATCTCCGTCAAGACTCTTCAGAACAACGATTTTAAGAGACCCTGTTTTAAAAAAATTCCCCCTCCAATGGGGGTGAGGGAGGTTGGTTGCCGAACGAAATAATTGCGTCACCAGCACGGAAAGACTAGTACTAGGCTAAATGTTAATACAGGGATATCTTGCCCGCTATTTATGAAAACACAAAGCAATAGTTTGACTATTAGCGCGAAACATTGTGATGATATTATTATAGCCTTAATAAATGATATTTTGTTGACTAATTACACTTTTAGAGCCAAAATAGTTATTGTAGGTATTATCAGGTATATGCACATATGCCCGTACTTGGTTGCAGAAACGTAGTCTATCAGAATCAGAATGAGAATATCTTCTAGGTTGTCACTATAGTCTTAAAGGCAAAGGGCACTCGAGGGTCTAGTTTTCATGAATTTGCCACTCTCCTCCCCCGTTTCCGGTCTAAAGTGCCCCCCCCCCTACTTTAAAGAAACATTTTAAAGAAATTTAAATTACTTTTAAATGTAAACGGTAAAAGCTATAGTAATCATTAGATGTTTATTTATTAATATTCACGATGATTTCATCATTTATAAAAAGAATTAGTATATTGATATTTTCCCCCATCGATGTATGAAGAATCTATACATGAACGATTTCAAAATATATAAATATTTTGGTTTCGGAAAAAAGTAATTTTTAACCTTCGGCCTAGTTTCGGCTTCGGTCGAAATCAGAAAATCATTTTCGGTCGGACTCTACTGTGAGGTCAAACCAGACCATCGCAGCATCACACTAACTATTAGTCTATCTCTGTAAAATACTATGTTCGGATAATGTGTTGTTTTGTACGAGTCAGAAACGTTAAAAATGTTCTGTTATGCAAAAATTATAATTTTATTCACAAGGAAGCAACCAGACGACATTATATTTCTTTATTAGTAGATGTCAGGATCAAGCATGGCTGCAATCATCCATTGAGCCGCCACCAGAGGAGGAAAAAAAAATCTAGTTCCATCCATTGGCGAGGAGCCACTTGGCTCTTGCAATGATGTCATTGCTGTAGTCCCCTTGAGTTGTGCCGACGTCAACACCGCCCCACGTCTGGACGTTTTTAGTGCCAAAGTTGTAGGCGGCAACAGCACCTGGGAAGGCAGAGATGTTTAAGTAATACGTAAAGAAAGGTCTAGCCGTTCTAACCACTGGCTAATCAAAAAGGTGGGAAACTTATCTTTAATTTAAGATTATATAGATATACATATATAATATTATATATATATATATATTTATATATATATATATTTATATACGCGCACACCCTACCTATACATATACTGACAGTAAAGATAGTGCTATCATTTAAATATAATACAGTAAAGTGCTCAGTTGTTGTTGACACCACAAGGAAAAGCTCTCCACATGAGTTAACTCCATGACACGAACAACGTCTATTTACAACCATAAACTCTTGGAGCTTTTTACACCTCTTGTCATTGTTTTGTCGTGGATACTGCTTTGCTCTGGTATAGTTTGTGGATACTGCATTGATCTGATATAGTTTGTGGATACTGCGTGGCTCTGATATAGTTTGTGGATACTGCGTGGCTCTGATATAGTTTGTGGATACTGCTTGGCTCTGGTATAGTTTGTGGATACTGCTTGGCTCTGATATAGTTTGTGGATACTGCTTGGCTCTGATATAGTTTGTGGATACTGCATTGATCTGATATGTTCAAATAAAAACTGTCCCTACCTTGCAGGGTCTGACTCGGCGACCAGCTTGAGAGTCTTCGAGCGATCTAAACATTCAATCACACGGAGCAATCATTATTGATTTGTTTATGCAATGAGTTAATGGGCGATATATTGACATGAGATAGAAAGTGAAGGTGAAGTGAAAGTACCTGAGTGAAATATTTCTAACAAATCCCCATGGATTTCGTGGCAAAATTTAAAATGATAAATCTTTATTTTTTTTTTATTTTTTTTTTGCTCCTTCATTCTAATATTGCTATTTAATTATTTTTAATAATTTTATTTTAATTTCAATATTTTTCTGTATTTCAATCTTTTATCTACGGTATCGAGATAGACATGTGAAATTTTAATTAAAACCCATCTAATAGTATCGTACATCAAACGTTGCATTTTGGTTTCAATGACTACTAACAATGCAGAATTTGAGGATATTTGGTTGGCCTACTCACTGTTTTGATATCAGGCACCAACTTCCGGCTGACCATCATCTCAATGTGTTCACAACTGTTCCACGGCACGGAAGTGCAAGGAAGACCAGACTTCGCGATGTCACACTGGACAAAAAAGAAGAAAAGTCTTAAAATGTACAACGGGGAATGTCTGACTGCGTCTTGAATGAAATTGTGACTTGCGGCGGTGGTGGGCTGTATTTAGTTATAGGTGGAATAATCTGTATTCAAAGATTAGTTTTATAAAACACATATACTAGTGGTTCTCAACCTGTGGGTCGTGACCCCTTCGAGTGTCGAACGGCCCTCACATAGGGGTCGCCTAAGACCATCGGAAGACAGTTATTTATGAAGTAGCAACGAAAATAATTTTATGTTTGTTGGTCACCACAACATGAGGAGCTGTATTAAAGGGTCGAGGCGTTAGGAAGGTTGAGAACCACTAATATATGCGAATATGTTTAGATTAATTTAAAACATGCTTATTTATTTGGTTATGTTATAAATTGTTATATAAGGATATATCATTGTTTGATTTCTTATAAGGAGTTGTGTTATGAAATAAAACATAAAATATTTTAACTTATAGTTTTACTTTAAATTAAGGCCTAGATTTCGCCTAGTTCCCATCTTCCGCGATTTTGAGTAAGTTTCAAACCAAACTTGCAGACGTGAATTTGATAGGTTGGTTTGAAATTACTTAGCTGTTTTATTCTAAATGCGACGCTATTTTTACTTACATTGTTTGAGTAGAGAAATTGTGGATCTGCCACACAAATGTAATGAAAGTTACTCAACCCTTCATGATCCATAACTCACCTGCATGATGCCCCAGGCTTTCCTACCGTCTCCATAGCCACTGTTAAGGCCTTTTCCGCCGTTCGATTCTCTGCTGGCGATGGCGGCAATCACAGAGGCCTGGACACCTGGGAAATCAAAGACGAGGAGAAGAAAAATCAACTTGTTTTGATTACGGTTTTAAAAAGGTGGAGTATTTCTTAATTTCTTGTCTACTCCTGGTTGGGGGAAGAGACCGACTGAATTTCGGCTTCGGTTTCGGTCGAAAGATATTTTAAAATTTTGGCCTGGTTTCGGTTTCGGCCTAAATCAGAAAACCATTTTCGGCCATTCTCAAGTTGGGGGAATCATGTTAATAAATAAAATAGTCTTGAAATTAAGTCTCATAATAGGTCATTTAGTTTGACTTTGGTTTTTGTTTTTTTTTATTTGACCGTTCGTTTAACTTTGGAAACTAAGGAGTCGCTAAGGTAAAATCGTACAGTTCTTGTCGGCAGACGCCTGGTAACAGCTCCTTTGCGCGTTCAGTGCGGACAGGTCACTCTGGACAGCCGAGTTGGATGCAGACACACCTGTTGAGTCGAAAAGTGAGTTAGAGCCATTCTCAGCAAGTAGGATGTAAGAAACAATAATCATGGTTGAATGACAAGCATGAACATCAACATTTGAATGAATGTTAATATTGGAATTCCGAAATTGACTGAAAAAGTGTCATGGAATTGAACTAAATTTAAAACAAATTTAAAATCAGCTTTATTTCTTAACATTTGAGCAAAAGGTCATCAAAGTATTGGAAATAGTATGGGAAAATGTGATTACACTTTATAATGATTTTGTCTTGACCTAAATGAAATACCCTATTCCCAATTAGTTAATTAATGTTATAGAAATAGGCATCATTATACATTTAAATCAAAACTCCTATAACATTAATACCACAGAAAGAAGGATAAAGATAAATTTATTAAAGACTATATTTAGATTACAATGTTCATAGTTCTTTAACTCTGGCGTTTCACAAAAGATAGTGCTACCAGCATCCTGCAAATAGCAGTCCTAACTAGGACACAGCAATATGACGGCCTGCAACTAGCAGTCCTAACTAGGACACAGCAATATAACGGCCTGCAAATAGCAGTCCTAACCAAGTCGCACATTTATGTATTCCATCCCCAAACTTAATGTTATCATTCGATCTACACTGAACTAATGGCTCCAGCTCAGGTGCGCCCTTGCCTCAGCTCAGGTGCGCCCTTGCCTCAGCTCAGGTGCGCCCTTGCCTCAGCTCAGGTGCGCCCTTGCCTCAGCTCAGGTGCGCCCTTGCCTCAGCTCAGGTGCGCCCTTGCTTGAGCTGCCTGATTTTAAGAAATACCTTCGGTCTAAATTCCACTTCTACCAAACATAAATTATTAAAAATAGTTCCAATGCGAAACATAAAATCAAAGTTGCTCTCATCAAAGTGTCACATTTCAGTGATTGTGACACAATATTTAGCGGTTTCTCACCTCCAGGTTTGCGCCCAGTTGGTGACAGTTGTGAAATGTCACCGTAGCATGTTCTGGAAGCTGTAAAAAAAAAAAAGGTATCAATAAAACTATTGTTTTAAATCAATAAAATGTTCTGTTATAACTTTGAGAACGAGCATTCGCAGATCTCATTCAAAGGTACGCTCTGGTAAGAAATCAAACACTCAAAAAATATCCGTCAAATAAAATTGAATAGTTCTATTTATTTTTTATTATTTTTTTTTTCGACCGTTAAAAATATATATAAATGTATTAATGTATTAAATAAAGCATACACAATTAACTTTAAAAGATCAATTTACTCAATCACACGTCAAATAGTTCCTGTCATTTTTTTTTAAGGCGCATTAATTTATCTTACCGGCGGTAGTCAGTCCCAACGATATGCTTAACACCAACCAAAACATTGTCGACGGCTCACTGTGTTTCCACAAGTAACCGCACTCCCCCGGCTCAACTCCAATTTATGTACGCTGTCAAATGAGAATGGATTGTTTACATTAAAATGTCCATTGGCAGAGGTGTAGTGTACAGAGGCCGAAGGGGTGCACATGTTTAGTTCTAACCTTTTAATCGTGAATTTAGAGTGGAACAGTAACATTGAGATTGGCTTGTTCTGGGGGCCACTTTCTTAATCTGCCCCTGCTCAAAGACGTGTTGTCTGCCCTTGCCCGAAGATTTGTTTTTTGCCCCTTTCTGAGGACGTGTTGCCCGCCCCTCCCCCCCCCCCATGACCTTTTGTCCGCCCCTGCTATCAGGACATGTTGTCCCCCCTTCTATCAGGACATGTTGCCCACTTCTTCTATCAGGACATTTTGCCCACTTCTGTTATCAGGACATGTTGCCCACCCCTGCTATCAGGACATGTTGCCCACTTCTGCTATGAGGACTTGTTGCCCGCCCCTTCTATCAGGATATGTCCGCCCTTGCTATTTGGACATAGTGTCGTCCCCTGCTATCAAGACATTTTGCCCGCCCCTACTATCAGGACATGTCCGCCCCTGCTATCTGGACACGGTGTCTGCCCAATGCGATGACTGCTGCTTTATTTGCAGCCAACACATCCTGGTAATGTCATCCCTGTGATGTCGTAATGAGTTTCACGGGATAATTAGCTTTTTTTGTAGGTGACATTTAATCTCTACGCCTATAAGATGGCGGATTTACGTGAGGTCGTTGCTAGTTTTATTTTCATTTATAGTAAGGTAATGTTCCAACTGGCAGTCCATGCAATTCTCTAACACCACTGGTAGTCCATGCAATTCTCTAACACCACTGGTAGTCCATGCAATTCTCTAACACCACTGGTAGTCCATGCAATTCTCTAACACCACTGGTAGTCCATGCAAATTGCGCCCTTGCCTCAGCTCAGGTGCGCCCATGGCTCAGCTCAGGTGCGCCCTTGCCTCAGCTCAGGTGCGCCCATGGCTCAGCTCAGGTGCGCCCATGGCTCAGCTCAGGTGCGCCCATGGCTCAGCTCAGTTGCGCCCTTGCCTCAGCTCAGGTGCGCCCTTGCCTCAGCTCAGTTGCGCCCTTGCCTCAGCTCATTTGCGCACCTTGCCTCAGCTCAGGTGCGCCCTTGCCTCAGCTCAGGTGCGCCCTTGCTTGAGCTGCCTGATTTTAAGAAATACCTTCGGTCTAAATTCCACTTCTACCAAACATAAATTATTAAAAATAGTTCCAATGCGAAACATAAAATCAAAGTTGCTCTCATCAAAGTGTCACATTTCAGTGATTGTGACACAATATTTAGCGGTTTCTCACCTCCAGGTTTGCGCCCAGTTGGTGACAGTTGTGAAATGTCACCGTAGCATGTTCTGGAAGCTGTAAAAAAAAAAAAGGTATCAATAAAACTATTGTTTTAAATCAATAAAATGTTCTGTTATAACTTTGAGAACGAGCATTCGCAGATCTCATTCAAAGGTACGCTCTGGTAAGAAATCAAACACTCAAAAAATATCCGTCAAATAAAATTGAATAGTTCTATTTATTTTTTATTATTTTTTTTTTCGACCGTTAAAAATATATATAAATGTATTAATGTATTAAATAAAGCATACACAATTAACTTTAAAAGATCAATTTACTCAATCACACGTCAAATAGTTCCTGTCATTTTTTTTTAAGGCGCATTAATTTATCTTACCGGCGGTAGTCAGTCCCAACGATATGCTTAACACCAACCAAAACATTGTCGACGGCTCACTGTGTTTCCACAAGTAACCGCACTCCCCCGGCTCAACTCCAATTTATGTACGCTGTCAAATGAGAATGGATTGTTTACATTAAAATGTCCATTGGCAGAGGTGTAGTGTACAGAGGCCGAAGGGGTGCACATGTTTAGTTCTAACCTTTTAATCGTGAATTTAGAGTGGAACAGTAACATTGAGATTGGCTTGTTCTGGGGGCCACTTTCTTAATCTGCCCCTGCTCAAAGACGTGTTGTCTGCCCTTGCCCGAAGATTTGTTTTTTGCCCCTTTCTGAGGACGTGTTGCCCGCCCCTCCCCCCCCCCATGACCTTTTGTCCGCCCCTGCTATCAGGACATGTTGTCCCCCCTTCTATCAGGACATGTTGCCCACTTCTTCTATCAGGACATTTTGCCCACTTCTGTTATCAGGACATGTTGCCCACCCCTGCTATCAGGACATGTTGCCCACTTCTGCTATGAGGACTTGTTGCCCGCCCCTTCTATCAGGATATGTCCGCCCTTGCTATTTGGACATAGTGTCGTCCCCTGCTATCAAGACATTTTGCCCGCCCCTACTATCAGGACATGTCCGCCCCTGCTATCTGGACACGGTGTCTGCCCAATGCGATGACTGCTGCTTTATTTGCAGCCAACACATCCTGGTAATGTCATCCCTGTGATGTCGTAATGAGTTTCACGGGATAATTAGCTTTTTTTGTAGGTGACATTTAATCTCTACGCCTATAAGATGGCGGATTTACGTGAGGTCGTTGCTAGTTTTATTTTCATTTATAGTAAGGTAATGTTCCAACTGGCAGTCCATGCAATTCTCTAACACCACTGGTAGTCCATGCAATTCTCTAACACCACTGGTAGTCCATGCAATTCTCTAACACCACTGGTAGTCCATGCAATTCTCTAACACCACTGGTAGTCCATGCAATTCTCTAACACCACTGGTAGTCCATGCAATTCTCTAACACCACTGGTAGTCCTTACAAATCTATATCCGTTGTTACGAGATATGAGTGCGAAATATGGACACAAGATATGATCTCGAGATTTTAGCGCGAGATATGATCACGGAAAATGGAAACGAGATATGAGCACGAAATATGGACTCGAGATATGGGGTAATGAGATACGAGGGCATGAGATATATGGGGCAAGAGATATAGAGGCCCGAGATATGAGCACGAGATGTGGGCACGAGATGTGAGGGCATGAAATATGAGGGCATAAGAGATGAGGGAATGAGATATGGGTACAGGAAATATTTTGAGTTTGAGATATAGGGGACGAGATATGAGCACGAGATGTAAGGACATGAGATGTGATGACATTAGATATGAGGGCATAACATATATGAGCATGAGCTTTTAGGGCATGAGATATGAGGACATGAGTTATGGGGGCTTGAGATATGAGGTCATGAGATGTGAGGGCATGAGGCATGATGGCATGAGGGCGTGAGGTATGGGGAGATGAGATGTGAGGGCATGATATTTGAGGTATGATAAATGGGGTCATGAAATATGGGGAGAGATATAGGAACGTGAGATATGTTATATTAGGGGATGAGATATGAGGGCATGAGATATGAGGGCATGAGATATATGGGGCATAAGATATATGGGCACGAGATATGAGCATGAGATATGAGCACGAGTTGTGTGGGGATGAGGTGATGACATGATATATGAGGGCATAAGATATAGGAGCATGATATTTGAGGGCATGAGATATATGGGGCATAAGATATATGGGCACGAGATATGAGCATGAGATATGAGTGCATGAGATATATGGGGCATAAGATATATGGGCACGAGATATGAGCATGAGATATGAGTGCATGAGATATATGGGGCATAAGATATATGGGCACGAGATATGAGCATGAGATATGAGCACGAGTTGTGTGGGGATGAGGTGATGACATGATATATGAGGGCATAAGATATAGGAGCATGATATTTGAGGGCATGAGATATGGCGGCGAGAGATATAGGGCGAGATATAGGAACATGATAAATGAGGGCATGAGATATAGGGAGTGATATAGGGACATGAGATATGGGGGCATTTGGTAAAGGGACATTAGATATAGGGGAATGAGATATATGCTTTTAAACCTTATTATTTGAGAAAGTTTAAATAATGATAAAACCACTAAATGGAAGTACGTCCAATATTTTAAAATTTCATGAAGAGGTGTATTTTTAACACGCTAGAAAAATCTTTTCAAAAGCACCAAAGCCCATTCCAAACTCTTGTCTTTCCGACCTCACCTCTTTCAATGGAATAATGTACATTACCCTGATGTTCTTTACAAAAACCGGACAGTTTTACCACACCGACTCAAGTCGAGGTGACATCACGCTAGTTCGTGCCCAGACTCGACAAAATACTTGTGAAATATGACAAACGTGTTCTGTGGAGATTTGTATTGGCGGCACGAGCACAAACAAGTGCTTAACATGAGATCCGGGCAGATTCCGTTTACCTTTAAATAATGACGAAACCAAAAGTCAGATCCTGGTGTTTGCTGAGGGCCTGGAAAGTGGGAAAACCAAACCAGACGATCTTTTAGAGCTGATTACAAAATTCCCAACTCAACTCACAATTAAACTACCCCCTAAAAAGATTGTCCCTTTTTTAAATAATCTTAATTTAATTTAATCTCATTAAGAAAAACTATTCAAAGATAAAGTCCAATGGCTCCTAAGTCATTGACTTATTGTAGTGGTTCCCAAAGTTTGGTACGCGTACCCCTGTGAGTACGGGAGGAATTTGATGGGTTACAAGCTGCAAAGGAAAAAATAATTTTTTTTTTATTATTATTGAGGGATATGCAATTTTTTTAACGCGGGGTACTCAGTGTTATGAAAATTTTAGACAGGGGTTCACATAGTTCAAAAGTAGAGACCGACCGAAAGGTAATTTCTGAATTCGCTCGAAACCGAAACTATGCCCAAAAGTTAGAAATGACTTTCAGCCGAAACCGAACCAGATACCAAAAGCTGAACAGTACTTTCGGCCGAAACCGAAGCCGAAACAGAAATATTTAGATATTTTGAAATTCGTTCACGCATACATTCTGCAGACATCGAAAATGGTGGTTATCAATATGTCTATTCTTTTTATAGAAAATGAGATCATCGTGAATACTAATTTAAAAACTATCCAATGAATACCTTGGTTTTTACCATTTTAATTTAAAATATTTTTTTTTTTTAAAGTAGCATGGTAAGGGAAAATTT